AGTGGGCAGGGATCTAAGCGGTAGAGGATATAATTTTGATGCCAAGGAATGTTTTTCCTTAAGATAAAATTAGGCCTTTCCATTTAATTTTCAGAGTGAAAGTGAATGAAGCCTAAACCTAGACTCCAAATTCTGATTTGTCTTTTCCTAACCTGGGCTTGTTCCAGTGTGCTTTAATACTCTTACCAAGCAAGTCCTCTCCTCATTCATGTTGCTCATTTTGATTTTTTAAGTTTCCTTAACTGCCTAGGATTAGGCTGAGTGGATGAAAGTAATGTTTGATTAATAAAGAGTCCCTCCAGTCATGACTTGCAGACTGTAGAGCCTGGCAGATGCTTCAGTTAACATGCAATCTTAGAAGCTGAAACATTAGACAGTGGGGTTCCTTTTTGGTTTTCTCTGCTGCGTTGTTAAAAAATACTGAAAATCAAGATTCATGTAATCAGAGTCTATAGGTTAATAAGGACGTATACTGAATAAACTGTCTTATGCAATAAGGTTAGGGGAAAAGGCCCTCTGAGCTCTATGCAGCTTTGGGTAACATAGAATGTAAATATTTTCCTGTTGATTCGATTTATCAATAGGATCTTCATGGCTCAGTACTCTTATGGATCAAATTTTGAAGGGATTGAAACTTATCAAAGGCAGGCTCCTCAAACCCTTTGATTCATAGTGCATAAATTAGGATCCCCTTTTGTAGTCTAAAAGCTTCATGGAGCATGAGGTTGGATAAGGTAGGGGGCAGTGTGCTGGACCCAGGTTCAAAGCCTGTCTGATACTAGCCACATCAACAGGCAAGTCGGTAGATCTCTTAGCTCCTCTTTCCTTATCAGCAAAATAGGTATGATAACTGTAGCCTTTACTTTACAGGTTAAATGTGTGGCAGGTGAACGATAAAATGACTGAGGGAAGAAGGTTCAACCTTCTGAGCACATGGATTTATTAAGCGTTGCATGCCAATTGCCTGACAATGAGGGACCAGGCCTCCTTAGCCTGGACCCCAAATACAGGGGAAGACAGACTTTTATACATTAAAAACAATTAATCAAATAATAAGAAACAAAACAACATTAGATAATCTGATTTCTAATTGGAAGAAATATTAGGGACTTTCCAAGTTGGGAAAAGGAGAGTAAACAGATGTAATTCCCTAAATTCAGGAAAAGAAGTGTCCTACTCCCCTCCAAAGGTCTGCAAACAATCAAAGGAATATGGAAATAATAACTAATTATTGACTAATTATTGACCAGTACGGCCCATTTTCAGATAAGATATATGGGTTACTTGAGATGTGCAATTGTAAGAAAACTCCTTGCATCAATTTTTGAATCTGACTGAGTTTCTGGTCAGCATGACCTAGGTCTTTAGTTAAGATTTTCTTAGCAGCAGGGAGAGGGGGTCCAGTTTCCCAGCCATATAGGGTTAGGCTCAAGCAATTGAATAAGATTTTATCCCAATTCCCACAATTGAATCAAGTTTTCTCATAAGACTAAAATTGAACTAGATGCATAATTGAATAGAAACTGTTAGCTCCAGAATTGAGTTATAGAGTAAGTGTGGTTCACTCCATTCCCACAATTAACCACTTGCTGTCCTAATTCCCTCAATTTCTTCAAATGTCAATTATAATGATTGCTTTGGGTTATTCCTAATGATTCAGCAAGCAATCAATGAAATATTCTTAAATTATTGACTGTTGTAAACAAATGAACTAAGAAAAGAAAGTAGAGAACTCCATATTTTTGTCACTTTCAGTTTTATTGGTTTGTTTTGCTTTTATATTACATAAACTTACAGATTACTCCCTTTTCATGGAAAGTCTATTATAAAAAGCAAAAGTAATAATACAGTGACCTCAACTGAAAGTGTATACATTTCAAATATGTAGAAGTCCTCACTCCTCTATTTTTTCAATTAATGTGAATATATTTTGTTTCCCTCCCATTCCCCACCCCCACCCTACTTGGGGTGGAGGGAAGGAAAAGACAAGAAAAACAAATTTCTTGTAACAAATATGCATAGTCAAACAAAACAATTTCTCCAAATGGCTTAACTGTATGTTGAGGTCAGCTTTTGACACCTTGAACACACAATCCTTCCTGGAAGTTAAAATATTTGTTGGCGGCAAATGCATTGAATGAATCCTGTGACATGCCATGCTATGGAGGATCTAGCACTTAGCACAATGCCTGGCACATAACACACACTTAATAAATGTTTATTGATTATTGATTGATTGCTATCCCAGGAGATAGGTTCCCCAAAGGGTGGTAGAGGACAGGTAAAACTATAGCTAAATAAGAATCAGAAATCCAAATTACCATATATTTTAAAATTAGATTCTGGGGCCCTGATAGAATATAAGCTTCTTGGAAGCAGAGACTGATTTATTTTTGCTTTACATCCCCAGCACTAAGCACAGGATTTATGATGAGCAATTAATCAATGTGTATTTATTGATTGATGAAAGGACAAAAGACCCAAAGAAGTATCCTACTGTTAGATAGCATGATGTTAGATATTGCAAATGAAAAAAGGCCTGAGATAGCTCCCCTGAGTTGGGAGAAAGTGGTGGCCTGCTATTCATAACAATATGATACTTTAACAACAGAAAAAAATAAAATAGGAAGGAAAGTAAAGCAGGTCGAAGGATAGTGATAATGTAGGGCCACTAGTATAAGGGGCTAAAGAAAGAAGGTGAAAATTGAGTAGGAGTATGTGTGCCTAGGGATGGATTTTGTTTAAATATAGGGAGAAATTATCAGCTGTCAAATAGGCAAATGCAATAAGATAAATGGTCTTTTATTTTGCTAATAACATTTTAAAGTTTCTTTAAAGATCTAGTTCTCACTATTTTAATTAAATGAAAGAAAAGTATTTTTAACTAGTTGAAGGGATGAAATCAGAGAAGTCATTACTGATTAAAAAGCAGCTGTAATGTAGTAGAAAGACACTAGAAGAAGAAATCAGGACACTTGAAGTCTAAACAAGGCAGCAAACTAGTTGGGTGACCTTGGGCAAGTTATTGAATCACTCAACCTTAGTTTCTTCATTTGTGAAAAGAGAAGGGTAGACTAGATTGTATTATACCCAAATTAACTACAAAGGACCTATGAAGGGAGCTTCTATCCGCATCCAGAGAAAGAACTGATCAGTAGAAGCATGTATAGAATGATTTGTGTTTAATGGTAGCCATCTTGGGGGACAGGGAAGAGAAAAAAAAAAGGAAAAAAGTTACATAATAACTTTATTATATATTTAAAAGGAATTGTGCATAATAGATCTATAGTTTCAATTTCAATCATCTTTTTTCTATTCTATGTTACGAAAATGTTTGTTCTATTTCTCAAAATAAATAAAATTAAAAGAAAAGAAAAGAAAAAAGAAAAATGCAGGGTGGACTAGATGGTTTCCAAGGTCCCTTCACCTCTAAGATTTAAAAAATGTCAGCCTGGCTGGTATATCAAGTGGAAGTTCTCAACCGATGGTAGTAAGCCTAGAACTGATGAACATTTTCATTAATGACATGGATGATGGAACAGAGTATGCTCGGTAAACTTTCAAATTACACCAAGTTGAGTGGGGTGAGTAGTACCTTGAACAACTTGATTAGAAGTGAAAATGACTTTGAAAATTTGGAGAAGAAGCAAGATGTCAACTAAAATGGGCAAGGACAAATCAAAGAAGTAATAGTTATCTGTACAAAGGCAAGACAGAACAAGATTGACTCTGCATGGATCATGACAGAAAATGATCTGGGCTCAGAATGAATCATTAATAACTATTCAATATTGTTGTATGTGATTTTTTTAAATGACCACATCTTCATTCAGGAATGGAAAGAAGAACATAACATCAAGGTTTTTTGAGATAATTTTGCTAGTGTGCTCTATAGCTGTCATGCTTCTTTTGGAAATAATTTGCCTAATTTAGGAACTGAGATTTTGCACACTAAGTGGACCATGTATACAATCTAAAATAGTGTCACTTACAGATGGACTGGGAAATTTTTGTGTGAAAAGGTTGAAGAATCATCGTTATTTGTTTAAAAAGTCAGAAGCAGACACCTAGTTAATTTTTTAAATTTAAGGAGAAGACTACTTAAGTGTGTGGTAATAAGCAGCTATTCTCCATTTTCACTGAGAATGGTAATGTGAAATTGCATTGGAAAGGAATCAAGTTGCAAAATAAGAACTTGTTAACCATGAAGTTGGGATAAGCCCCTAGAAAGTTAGGTGACTGATGTGCAGCTTTCATGGCTTCAGTGTTCTATTTCTCTAATTATCCTCAACCTTTTCCCACCAGAATGAGCTGGACTTTGCCTCTGGCACCATGGGCCCTGATATGAGAGCTTCTAACTTTATTTTGCTCAGAACCAGGTCAACTTGTCATTCCTTGTCCACCTCCAAACCAAGTCAATGAAGTTGTACCTCATTCTTCCCTGATTTCTTGCTTCCTTTTATGTATTATCTCTCCCAATTAGAATATAATCCCCTTGAGAGCAGGAATGATTTCACCTTTATTTGTATCCCTAGTTCTTAGCACAGAGTAAGTGCTTAATAAATGCTTTATCATTCATTTACTTACTCTGTTCTAGTTTTTTTTTTAACTTGGACTGATAATGGAAGATTTTTAATGGGACTTATATAGTTAAAAATGAAAATACAGATAACAGATGTTGTATACAATTCTCACTTCCTTGTGTTATTCCAACAATGAACTCTGCTATATGAAGACTATACTAACTAAGGTTAAAGAGGATCATCACCAGAAATTTCACACCAGAGATTAAAACACAATTGGCAAATGAAGAAGCAGGAGGTCAAGAAGGAGGAGAAAAGAAGGTCTTTTGTACCTAGTACAACTTAAAAACAAGGGGAAAATGATCTCTTACGTTTTAAAGAATTATGTTTTCTGTGGTAATTTTGAAATTGCTAATTCTTTTTTATATTTTTTCAATGAAACACTACAATGATGTTATTATTTTTTTCTCTTTCTAGGCCAAATGGCAGGAGATCACACAAGGCTGGAATTCCACAACATAGAAACTGGAATCATAACAGAGCGGCGTTATCTGTCCTCTGTCCCCTCCAATTTCATTGGCCACCTACAAAGCCTGACTTTTAATGGAATGGCATATATTGACTTGTGTAAAAATGGCGACATAGACTACTGTGAGCTAAATGCCAGATTTGGCTTCAGAAACATCATAGCAGATCCTGTCACTTTCAAGACCAAATCAAGTTATGTTGCCTTAGCTACATTGCAAGCATACACCTCTATGCATCTTTTTTTCCAATTCAAGACAACATCCCTAGATGGATTGATTTTATACAATAGTGGCGATGGAAATGACTTTATCGTGGTTGAATTAGTTAAAGGGTAGGTGTATACCAAATCAAGCGTGGTGTAGTGGAAAAAGCTATGAATTTAGAGGCACAGGTTAGGTCAAATCACAATTCTGCTATTTACTACCCCTATGATTGTGGGTAATTCACTTGACCTCTATCATCCTCAGTTTCTTCATTCGTAAAATGCAAGGGGTTGGACTCATAATGTCTATTCCAGTTTTAAATTTGTGATCTTATGGCAAAATATTTTTAAAAACCCAAATAACTAGAATACAACTAAACAGAGACCTCAGTTACATGGAATTCTTTTGTTGACTTCCACTTTTAGGAGAGAGGTTATAAATTTACCCTTAGCAGAGATCATTAAACAGCCTAGATAAATATTTCTTTGGGATGTGATAAAGGAAATGCTCGTTTAGGTAACATTTGAATTAGATAGTCTATGACCTTTCTTTCATCCGAAATTCTGTGAAGAAAAAAAGGAAATTATTTTTGCTCAGTCATGTCTGGTTGACTTCCTATTTTTTGAGGACACTGGAAGGCAGACATCAATCAGCAGGGTTACCTGGGAGATGGAAATTTCTAACATAAGGCTCTTCGCAGATTACAGAAGAGGGATGAGAAACCAAGCAGAAGAGGGTACAAGTAAGATAGAGATAGCTAGCTAGGAAAAAAAGGCACTCAGAAAGCCAGATGTTTCCCATAGATTCAGTAACTCATTTAGTCAACATTCATAGATTGTCTATGCTCTCTTAATAATAAACCAAGAGAGGGGCAGTTAGGTGGTGCAATGGATAGAGCACTGGCCCTGAAGTCAAGAGTACCTGAGTTCAAATCCAGCCTCAGACACATAACACTTACTAGCTGTGTGACTTTGGGCAAGTCACTTAACCCCATTGCCTAACCAAAACAAACAAACAAAAAAGAATAAACCAAGAGATGAATTTCTGATCAGTGACCATCATTATATCGACAAGAAATTGAATTGAAATATTTTAGAGAGATTTTCAGTAAGGATCTTGCAAGTTGAGTTTAAGGAGTGCTAGATTTGGAGTCAAAAGCACTGGATTCAAGTCCTATCCTTGTCAATTGCTATGAAGGTCTCAACAAATTATTTTTCTGAGCTTTGGTCTGCTCATGTAAAAGGAAGCACCCAATCCTTGTGTCCTCTCTGATCAAACAAGATCATTTCAAGTCTCTAATGAAATAATATATGTGAAAGTATTCTATAAGATACTATGCAAATGTAAATCATTATCATTAAGTTAATTAGAAAATTAAATTAATCAGAACACTTAATTTTTCCAAGTTCCCAGTTAATTAGGATTTGACTCTATATCATAGAAGTAAAAACAATGGAAAGAGATGAAATTTCAAAGCAAATTTCCTGGCAATTCAAGTGGAAATATGGTATCTAATGCTTGGAATTTTTTAAACTAAAAATAGTTTCCACCATTTTACAATGTAATCCCATCCAACAAGCATTTATTATTCACCTATCATGCCCTGTGTGGTACTAAGAATACAAAGATAATAATGAAAAGCATTTTTTTTGCCATCAAGAAGCTTACATTTCACTGCATATACAATAATCTGTCTCCCCTGTTGCAAAAACGTAGTATCTTTTCCCAGGTAATTAAAAATGGTTTCGGCTATATGATCCACCCAGGTGTCTTACTTAATCCAAATTCAAAAGCCCTTCTATCACTCACCTCTCTTGTTCTTTCCTTAGGTACTTGCATTATGTCTTTGACTTGGGAAATGGTGCTAACCTCATCAAAGGGAGCTCAAATAAGCCACTGAATGACAACCAGTGGCATAACGTAATGATCTCCAGAGACACCAACAATCTCCACACAGTCAAGATCGATACCAAAATCACCACCCAAAGCACAGCAGGAGCCAGGAATTTAGATCTAAAAAGTAAGTCTATACAAGTTTGGGTCACAATTTCACTTTCTACTTAAATAAAAAAATCCGTAGTTCTAAGCTTTTTTTTTTTGTTGCTCTAGTCAGATTGACTACTATTTCATTGACAGCAGGTAATTCATAATGCAACACAAAATCCTGTATTTCTCTTTTAATGTGGCAGAAATATATATGTATTTTTCATAGAAGGTTTCAAAAAAGCCAACATCTAGGACTGCTTACATGCATGGTAAAAGTTTGAAGAGTTAGAAATAATATATTCTTCTTGATGTTAGAAGAAAAGGGAGAGTGAGTTTAAGTTTGTTGCTATTGTTTGGTTGGTTGCTTAAAAAAGTTCCAATTCTTCTTAACAAATTTGTGGTCAAGGTGGCCAGTATATGTAAAGTTTCTCTTCAAGCTTGTTAGCACTTCCTGGTGAGGCTTTCACAGATATTTACAGGCATGTGTCAGAGGGTCAGAAAGCTTAGCTAATACATGTGTGTCTTTAACAGTGGATCCTCACCCCTGCTAAAGAAATGGCTCTTCCAACATCTGCCCTCTGAAGGGGGAGGGAGGGGGTCAAATTTTGAACAGGGTTTTCCTTCTACATAGATTTCTTTGATCTCAGGAGAACAAGTTGAAACTTCCCCAGTGGGGAAAGTAACAGTGGGAGAGTGTATCAGAAATACATGCTAAGAAATCCATAGCTCAAAGGCAACTTTGAAATCAAATTTAAGTTTGGGTAAGCCTTAGCTTTTCATTAGTATTAAAGAGCGTACCTTTCCCCCTCTCTGAGTCAAAAGACCACCCTGGAGATTGGGGGAACTGTTGAGACAAACCCGGACAGCTCTTCCTTCTAAGTGCTGAGAGATGCCTCTTTGAAACATGGTAAAAGAAAGAAGAGAAGCAAATATTCAGCATTTAATTTGAAAACATATTTCCAGAAAATACATCTGCTCAACGTATAAATTGCATTGTTGATGGCTGCCTACCTTCTTTCACAGAATTAGTTGTTACTCTTAAAGGGCATCCTAATTGTACCCACCAGTCAAAGGGTTCAGCTAAAAAAGTAAAACCCTGGTTAAAAGGGCAGATACATTTCCCTTTCTTCCTTTCCTAAAGTGTAAAAGGAAGGTATTTTTATGCTCATCAACTTAAGGAAATGGTGCCTATTGTGCACAGCAGTCAGGTGGCAACTGTCAAATAACAGAGACTTGGAAACTCAGTCAGTTTGCCAGGTAAATCACCTAAAGGGTACGAAGAAAAGCATACTGTTTGAATGAATGGAGAGCAACAGAGACAGACAGACAGTGAGACACAGAGACAGAGAGACAGAGACAAAGAGACACAGAGAGACACACAGACAGAGAGAGACACCGAGAGAGACACACAGAGAGAAACAGAAACAAAGACAGAGGCAGAGACAGAGCAGGAAAAAGGCCTTTATGGAAGCTGCCCATGTAAACCCAGGGACTGAAATGAAAGTAGTTTATAGTCTCTTTTTTTAAGATAGGTGCTACATGCAAACACATAGCTTGACTCTACAAAGACAAAAGACAAAAGGGTAAGCATCCTCTAGTAGGAATGATTTTCTGCTCAGTAAATGTTTCAAAAAGGGAATCATCTATTCACACCTGGAAGGGATCACATAGAATCAAAAATCTAGGGCTGGAAGAGATCATGGATCTCATGCAGTTCAATCTCATTTCATGAATGAGGAAATGGATACCCAAAGAGGTGAAGTGATTTGCCCTAGATCACAAAGATAGTAAGTAACAGGGGTCAAGCCTATCTCCTCTGGCTCCAATTTTAGCTTTATTTCCACTGTACTATACTGTCTCAATTTGCCCATCAGTTATTGAGAAGTGAGGATAGAGGGAGTATCAGAGAACCCTATGTGAAAGTTCTCTCTGATTCTGAATTGATAAAAGGCTTCAAAATTCGATGGAAGCCTTTGGGCTGTTTTTAAAAAAATAAACTGTATAATATTTTATGACTGGAAAATTATTTGGGAGGTAGGGGAACAACAGAAACAGAGTACCACCAGAATGAACACTGTATATACTGTATCTGTAACCTATAATCCTTCACCCCATGCCAATCCATATAACTCTTTAAATACTCACCCTACAACACACATTATCTTTAGCTCATTATGTCCCCAATAAAAATATCTCAGAATGTAGTTCTTCTCAATATCTCCACAGATGTGATTCCTTCTAAACCCATTCAGTGTAACCATGAACATTGAGGATAAGATAAACTTTATTTTCCCTCAGGAAATTCAGAAAACACATAAAGTCTCAGAGTAGCCTACAATCAATAAAATTCCCCTTCTCTTCCAATGAATTTCTTCTTCCTTCCAGAGTCCTCTCTTGTCTTCCAGACTTGTATTGACACTCGATGCTTTAGGCTCCCTTTGGGAAGAAAATAAATTTGGGGTTGTTTTCTGGGCAACCATTCAATATTCCAGTTGGTGTCATGTTCATTCCAAAATCATATATGTCATCCATCTTTATGGCACTACATGAAAGGTTGGATCTCTACAGGAAGGGAAATGAACTTGTTAGAAAGGCAACACTGTTCCCATCAAACCCATCCTGTCCAAATAATTTACATCAGTAGTAGAAATCAAAGTCCAAACCGTTTGCTCCTCCATACTACAGCTTCCCCTCCAACTAATGGGAACACGGAGGTGACTCTTTTCCCCAAGAGACAAACACCTGCCTGGAACTCTACCTTATCACTTTAGAAGACTGGATTCTGGAACTCTTCAAACATGGGTTCCTAAAGAGGCTATCCCAGGATGGGTGCTGCCCTGAAAACTTCCCATGCTCTCAAGAATTTCCACTACTTGACTAAGTGGTTGTTTTCTATTGATGTCATATGGTTGAGAACATGTACAAATGGCAAATATCTTTTCTAATACCTCTTCAGAGTTGAGTCATGAAATTAGGGGACCAGGAACACTTAATATTTCACCATTATCCTAGTTGCTGCCATCCCTTTGACCAAGAGGCCCACCTCTGGGACTAAAGAGAAAGAGGATTAGTCATTCCCTAGAGGACTATGCCAAAGTGTAGGCACCTATTCCTCTAGGGACCAAGGTTCTCTATCAAACATCTGTCAAAAAACCAGAGGGTGGGAGGGAGAATCTTAATGCAAGGTATTGGTTCCGCCCTCCCACAACAGTTTGGACTAACCTATTCATCCCCAGTGGATGAGATGTAACAAATGTCCCAAAGAAAGGCTCACATCCAGACCCAGAGTGAGCCCTTAATAAAAGGTTGTAAGTTGACTGATTGACTTCATATACTACCACACTTTGTTCTGACACCTAAAAAGTGAATTGTCTTAATGAGTCCACAGAAAGGAAATTATATTGGCTCCCTCTCATGAGCTCTCAGCTTTACCGAATTTAGAGTAGGAAGGGGTGTCACAGGACATCTAGTGCAACCAACATCCAACATTTAATCTAGAATCCCACTTGCCCTTGAACATACTACTCAAGTGACCATACAGCCTTTGCTTAATGGCCTCTAGTGAAGGGGAACTTTCCAGGGCAGCCCATTCCACTCTGGGATAGGTCCAATTTATTAGGAAATGTAATTTTGTTTGTTTTCATTTATTTGCTTTTATCACATCAAGCCTAAACTCGTTTCTTTACTATTTCTTCCTATTACTAGTTCTATCCTCTGGTGCTAAGATAGATAGATAGATAGATAGATAGATAGATAGATAGATAGATAGATAGATAGATGAATTAATTAAAGTCTAAACTTTCTTCCATGTGACCACCTTTCAAATAATTGAAGACAGCTATCAGGCCCTGCCAAGTATTTCCTCTACAAACTTAACATTCTAGTTTTCTACAATTGCTCCTCATATGACATAATCTCAAGACTTTTATTTTCCCAGTAGTCATTTTTTGTATACTCTGATACTTATCAATGTCCTTCCTAAAACATGTCTCACAGAATTAAATACACTATACAGATGCATGATCAGGGGAGAGAATGCAAGGATTGTCACCTCAGTATTTCTGCATTTTATGCCTTACTTAAAGCAGCCTTTTTTTTGTTACCATATCACAACAATCACCTATAGTGAGTTTGCAGTTCACGAAATCACTCAGATTGTTTGAAAACTTCTTTGTATTCAAGCCTCTCCCATCTTATGTTTATGAAGTTGATTTCTTAAACTTGTTTGAGACTTTATTTACATTCTCCCTCTTAAATTTCATTTCTACATCATTCTTATTAAATTTTAACTGTTAGATCTACTTAGTTCCTACAGAATTCCTTTATCATTATTAGTAGAATGAAGCTCAGTAATCAATTATGTAGAATCTGACCAAACTGCTAACCATGGCAGAGTAGTCAGCTCAGTAGGCTATAACATTAATCAAAACTATTTGATCCCAAATAAATGACTTGACTTTGAATAGAGAAAAACTCTAAATTCATACCTTCATACTAAATGAGAAATCTGAGTATGTCATTGATTGCATATCAGTCCAGGAAGCAAAGTGTATAGAGAACTCATCTCAAAACATCACTAAACTGGGGAGAAAAAAATAAGAATTTTCTATTGCTGGGGGAGTCAATAAGTTGCATTTCTTTATACAATAATTATCACATTTTTTATTAGTGCTCTTGGTTTTACATATTTTCTCTGCTTCATATAAAACAAACATTACAAAATTGGAATTTAGAGAGGTGCTTTCCAGTTTAAAAGACTATTTCTGTAAGTTATTCTCTTCATCATGAAAGGTAATATAAATGTGATGATGGTATTCACTTATTTATATCACTATTTGTATATATATGTATGATATGTATATATATATATATATATGTATGTAATTTTTCTCACAACCACCCTTCTAAAGTAGCTCAGGAAGGCATCTATAGATGAGAAACTTAAACTTAGAAAATTGAAGTAACTTTCAAAGTCCCACAGAAAGTAAATGATGGTTTTCAAACTCCAATATATTCTTTTGACTCTAAATTGCA